GCATATGTAGCATTAAGCCGCTGTACTAACTGGAATAATTTAAAAATACAATCACTAGATAGCACTGCTTTTATCACGGACCAATCTATGATCAGAGAATATAGACGTTTAGAACTTGAAGCCCTTGAATCACTACCACTAAACAGACCAGTATAACAAACTCCACTAACCAGAACCAAAGGATCCAGAATACTTCAAGCCTAAAAGCAAAAACAACTCTCTACTATCGTTAATGTAAAATTCCTAACGCACACATAATTCAAAAATTTTTTTTTCCTTTAAACTCTTTTATACCCTAAATCATTGATATGTGTAACCAAACTATTTTATAATCACATGATTAATAAAATTCAAAAATTACGGGCGGCGAAGCCGCCCACGTGCACATTCTCTAGTTGTCAATAATAAAAAGTATACACAAAATACATATTTTTTGCGCATACTCATAAAAAATGTTCTCGAGATATCTTACATTTCCTTGTTGAGTAGTTGCTGGTTGCACCCCGATTTTGCCTCCACTTTGTATCGATTCAGTTCATGTGGTAAAGTTGCGGATTTTTTATGATGGAGTATGAATTTTATTCTTATTTAGCTAAAAATATTAGATATCGTTCAATTTTAATTTTCTTTGTAGTCGTGGTTTTACTTTATGAATAAAAGAAGAGCTCAAATTCTGTGTATAAAGTTACAGATTAATTTTTCTAATTGTTAAAAAGTTTTAGCGTTTTAAAAAATATTATACTTCTGGCGCAGTATATCGAAATATTATTGGTCAATCACACAGTAAAATTTAGTCTAATAATTTCTGGGTGAACCAAGTTTTAATATATTTAAATTTAAATAACAAAACTCATACAGAAAATTTTCCGGTTTATTATAAACTTGTTAAAAATTTTCTTTATCATTGACAAGTTTAAACAGGACACGAAGCTTTTCTTGCACGTACGTACGTACCTTAAATTACGTACTGTAAGTACGTACGTACCAATTTTACAGATAATCTGCAAATATAAATATTGACCTATATTTTTCATCACCAGAAATAAAATTTTCATTTTACTCGAAGTCGAATAAACCAAATTAACACCATTTCGATGTCATTTTACTCGAAGTCGAATAAACCAAATTAACACCATTTCGATGTATTCCTTATTTTCCTTTTCAACAGGTCTTTATTTTCCTTTCTATATGTTTCTTTTATTTCTTTCTCTTTTTGTTATACGACATTTTCTCTATACTTTAATTGCTTTTCTTTTTTCTATACGAACAACCACGAATCGTTTTGACGTTCAATCATGCGTGACAAATAAGTCAAAGGTATTATTTATACAATTATGTGATTATAATGTATTGTTTCGAAATAACGTGGTTTAAAATTTTGGCATAATTTGGCCTAAATTAAACTTTTACCGGTAGATATTTATTTTAAAAAAAAAACTACTATTTAATTTCCTTAATTCTGAATATCTAATTCTGAAACCCACCATTTATTAATTCACACAAAAACAAATATAATTCTGCCAATATCAAAATGGCACATAATAAAATTTGAATTAAAACAGAAACTCATTTAAAGTTTTTCAGAGGTGTTGATGGCGTTACTTGAACAGCATTCATAAGGAAGTCTCGTGTATTTCGATTTCCTTCGCTTCTGTTGTGGAATTTCTTAATACTTTCAATTTCCTTTTCAATTTTTCTTAAAATATTTAAGTTTTCATTAACGGTCACCTACAATAAAAAAACCAAATTTGTTAATAATAAATAGATCATATAATAACTAATAGATGAGGACGAACCTTAATATAGATCAATAAACTCAGCAAAGAGATTGAATCTGAAATGTTGTCAGATTTTAAAGGAATTTTAGCTTCACCTACAGGAAAACTCAAGCGAAGTTGATGATTTTCCATAAGCCTAATAGCGATTAAAGAAAAACTTCCCTCTAAAAAAATTTTTTTAATTAAATTTGAGTGTGCTATGACTGGGTAAAAAGAATATAATATCCACTTACCAGCAACGAAAACTGCTATCCATCTTAATTTCGTTAAAAGATCTTTTAATGTACTTGTAATATTCAAAGCATCCTTGGCTATGTAAATTAGAAATCTATTGATTGCATCATTTATTGATCTTAAGAGTTTATCATAAACTCCGTTAAAAGGCACATGAGGAAGCTTTACTTCCACAATTAGAAAATACACTAAGTTATTTTCTTGATATTTGTATGTGAGGGCTGTATCAACTTTCTTAGAATAAATTCGAATATAGGTAACCCCTGGTTTCGGTTCTCCATATAATGAAATGTTAGTGTTGTTTGATGGTAAAATAATAGGATCATCGATTTGATTTTTAATTATAATATTTTCTTCAACAATAATATTTTGATCATTGATCTCGTCCGAATCCAGTACATCGAACATTTTTCGAGCTTCCTCAAAGTTTGATGGCCAAGCACCATACGGCGGATAGTGATACCAACTTCTTCTTTCAAAAGAACATTTAGTTTCATGTTCAGGACTGTAATAAATAAAATAAATGATTTAACAAGCAA